GGTAATTGGGCAGCTCCAGGGGGAAACGAGCCCATTTGGCTAACAATGGCGACTCCGCCGGGACTTCTCTCCCTGTAGAGGGCGCTGACCGGCGGCCGAGGGCGATTCCGAGGAGTGGCCACCTCGAGCTGTTGGTTTGCTCGAGCCTCGGATCGTCACAATCGGCCGGGGCGGCTGCGTCCTCTCTGAAGAGAACTCTGAAGGACACGGAGGCAAGACGGCTTCAGAGGAAGGGGAAGTCTGACTGCCGGACGCGGCCACTTCGGGCGGAAAGTGCGTTTACCTCCTGGGTTTGAGGAATAACGCCCCCGAGGTGTGAGTTGGACGGTGGAAATCCCCTAGGCAGCCTGTATACGGGAAGGTATGGTAACATTGTTGTAGTACTACAAATGTCTCGTTGTTGTGTGTTTGGTTAACGGGTTAGCAAATAACGGCCAATGAGTAACGTCACTAACTCCACAAGTCCATGGGCCGTTTTTAACAATTATTGGGACTTGGAGCAACATCAGGGATTACTCTTGTTTGTGGGAGGGGTAATCTTGTTTTTCCTTTTAATGGTGTGTTGGAAACCGAAATTGTAACTGATTAAGGGATCTGTGTGAAAGATGAATGAGTGCTGCTGATAGGTCTGAGGCTCACGCTGACTTCAGCCGCCCCAAAACTCCTGCGAGGGGAAACCCGGTGACCAGGATATCTTAATTGCAAGGGGGGTCAGACGAACCTCGTGATCTGAGTTAGAACTAGATCCCTATGCCTTCTCTTTCTTAATACCTCTGTCTTGAAAAACCTCTGGGTAAAAGTAAAATGGGGTCCGGACAAAGTATTTTCTCCGGAAGTCCCTGGGATGTATGTTGGATAACTGGAAGGCGTTTAGACGCCAGGCGGATTATGGAATTGTATTATGTAAGGACAATCTTGTAAAATTCTGTACTCTTGAATGGACGACATTCGGGGTGGAATGACCCGAGGGAGGGACGTTCAAACCAGGGATTGTACAACCAGTACATAACATTGTGACCCGGGATGGGCATTGGGACCAATATCCCTATATAGATATTTGGCAGGACCTCGTGGCCAATCCTCCCCCATGATTGCAGAAATGTAGATCATAAGCTATATAATATAAGGCAGGAAAAAAAAAATAAAAACCCAGCCGCTTTTTATGAGCAGCTTTGTAATACCTGTAAAAGATACACAAACCTCGATCCTGAGGATATCAATGGGAAACCCCGGTACTAATCCCCCTTTTCATTGGACAGTCCTATGAGAACATTAGAAAGAAGTTGCAAAAATTGGAGGGGGCGTCGGGTAAAAATATAGAGGAACTTTTAGAAATTGCCATGAAGGTCTATGATCGGAGGGATGATGAGAAGCGAAAGAAAGGGGCCCCCGTTTTAGCCATGGCCCTAAGGGATGGATATGAGGAAAGGGGGGACAAAGTTAAGGAATGACAAGGGCCCCCTGGGAAGGGAAGGGGCCCTCGCCTGGGTCGAAACCAGTGCGCTATCTGTAAGGAAGAGGGACACTGAAAGAATGAATGCCCCCGGCGACAGACGATGGGAAGGGAACGTAAAGATAAAGGTCCGTCCCTTCCCGTCCTCTACAACGGTACAGGACACACAGGGGAGGGATCTTCCCCATAGGGGGGCCGGGGAACCCAGCGGCCCCTCCTGGCGGCGCAAGCTGCCAGCCTGGATCCCACGGTAAAAATTCAAGTGGAGGGCCACCCAATAAAAGCCCTCATTGATACTGGGGCCACCCTTAGTTTGCTCCCCCTTAATAAGGCTCCCCGAGGTAAAGCTCGGGAACGTGCCATGGTCCATGGGATAGAGGGACAAACTACAGCTTTGGAAAAGACTTTGCCTCTCCTAGTAAAAATAGGGGACCGTCAAATTTCCCACCAGTTTGTTTGCAGTCCCTCTTGCCCCATCGCGCTGCTCGGACGAGATATTCTTACTAAACTGCAGGCAGAAATCTCGTTCGATAAAGGGACTATGGAAGTTAGACTCCCTAAGCAGCAATCCTCCAACTATCAGATGGCCCTAATAAGCGCTGGAGATCACTCCCCAAAATGCCAAGGGAGGAGTGAAGAGAGCCAGCTGTCAGGGGTTAACCTTAAGGTTTGGGCAGAGGAGGAAGGCGTCGCTCGGGCCCGGAATGCTTCACCAGTGCATATTTCCCTGAAGGAAGGAAGCAGCCCGGTCAGAATTCGACAATACCCTCTTAAGCTGACCACTAAAATCGGGTTAAAGCCTCTGATTCAAAAGTTTCTGCAGTGTGGGTGGCTCAGGGAAGGCACGCCCCCATACAACACTCCGATAATGGGGGTGCCTAAACCTAATGGGCAGTATCGGTTGGTCCAGGACCTAAGACAGATTAACAAGTTAATAGAAGCCCCCTATCCAGTCGTCCCGAATCCCCACACTATTCTGGGCCAAGTTCCCAAAAATCACAGTTGGTTCTCTGTCATAGATTTAAAAGATGCCTTCTTTTCCATCCCCCTTGATTTGGAGCCCCAGAGACTGTTTGCCTTTGAGTGGGAAAACCCAGATATCCACTACAAAGCTCAATACCTTTAAACCGTTGTCCCATAAGGACTTACGTGTGCACCCAAGATTTTTGGCAGCCAGTTAAGAAGGGACCTCGCCCCATTCCTGGCTAAACACCCTTCATGTAATATAGTCCAGTATTGCGATAATTTGCTCTTAAGTACTAAAACAAAGGCAGCCTGTAAAGAGCAGACTATAGAGCTCCTTAATTACCTTGGGGCACAGGGGTATAAGGTCTCAAAGGAAAAGGCGCAACTGGTTAGACAGCAGGTCACTTTTCTTGGGTATCACTTGTGTCAAGGAAGTCGTAGTCTGGGTAAAAAAAAAAAGAATCCAGGTTATACTTAATAGCCCTCAACCCCGGAGCCCCCGAAAATTAAGGGCTTTTCTGGGATTGACTGGCTTTTGTCGGCTCTGAATCCCTGACTACGGGGAAAGAGCCAAACCATTATATAAATCCTTAACTAAAGAGGGTCTGCTCCATTGGACGTGGACCAAAGAGATGGAAAAAGCATTTCAAAAGCTAAAAGAAGCCTTGGTTCAGCCTCCTGCTCTAGCCCTCCCAGACCCTCGGAGGCCATTCACTCTATACGTTCATGAGAGGGGAAGGGTGGCTGCTGGAGTTCTATGCCAAAGGTCGGGACCAACCTGGCAACCCATTGGATACTACTCAAAGGTGTTGGACCCTGTCGCCAAGGGCTGGCCTGCCTGTTTACGGGCCGTTGCAGCAACCGCTGTCCTTGTACAGGAGGCTGAAAAATTAACCCTGGGAGGGGACACTGAGGTTGTGGTTCCCCACGGGGTGCCTCAAATACTGGGAACAGGCGCTGGGGAAAAGCATTTAAATCCTAGCCGACATACCAGGTATGAAGTAGGGCTCTTGCTAGCCCCTCACCTAACCTTTAGGACAGTTAGCTCCCTCAACCCGGCTACCCTATTGCCCGACCCTCGGGTTTCCCATGAGACGGGCCCCACTCATAATTGTATTGAAGTCTTGCAACAGAAAACCAAACCTCGCCCTAATCTTTCAAACTTGCCGTGGCCCAACCCTGAAATTGAAGGGTACGTTGATGGGTCCAGCTATGTAATAGAGGGCAAGCGGTTTACCGGAGCAGCAATAGTAATTAAGGACAAAGGAATATACAAGTTTAAACTCAGCCCTAATTTGTCCGCCCAAGCGGCGGAGCTAGTGGCTCTTATCAAGGCTCTCCGGTTGGGAACTGGAAAAACTATTAACCTGTATACTAATAGTCGCTATGCCTATATGGTGGTACATGCTCACGGGACCCTGTGGAAAGAAAGGGGATTTATCACAGCGTCAGGCCAAAAAAAATTGCACATAAAAGCCCAGAGAATTGTTAGTAATTGCCCTGTCTGCCAACGAACCAACCAAAAGGGGTGTGGCCCTCCCGCCCCAATGGGAGGCCGGCCATGGGCCACGTACCCTTTCCAAAAATGGCAAGTTAACTTTGCAGAGATGCCCCCTTGCAGGGGCTATAAATACTTACTCGTATTTGTAGATCAGCTTACTGGATGGGTAGAGTGTTACCCCACCCGGCATTGTCAGGCCCGGGCTGTCACTAAGGCCCTGTTGCATGAAATACTCCCCCGATTCCACCTCCCTAAAACGACTGAATCTGATCAGGGAAGCCACTTTACCTCACAAGTGGTCCAACAGGTGTCCCAGGCACTCGGTATACAATGGAAGTTGCATACCCCCTGGAGGCCGCAGAGCTCGGGTCAGGTGGAAAGAATGAATAGAACTCTCAAGAATACCCTCACTAAACTATGCACGAAATCTAGTTTAAAGTGGCTTGATGCGTTACCACTCGCCCTTACCCGCATTCGAAGGGCCCCGCGTAAGGGTCTTAAGCTCTCACCATTTGAACTAGTCTTTGGGTTCCCTCCCCGAATCCTGATCCCGGGATTCCGGGAGGATATAAACTGAAAAATGGGAAAGGACTCCTTATGAAAACAGGTCTCGGGGCTGCAATCTGTTTTGTTACAGCTGCATCGATACGCGGTGCCTTTTCAGGCCCTTCCCTTAAACCAGCCCATGCACCCGTTCCAGATCGGTGATCAGGTCCTTGTCAAGAAGTGGAAGCGTGACCCCCTCACACCACGGTGGGACGGCCCGCACACTGTCTCGCTCATCAGCCAAGCTGCAGTTAAAGTTCTTGGGAGTAACAAATGAACACACCATACGCGGGTAAAGCGGTTTCTGAACCCTAACCCGGAGACTGAACCAGCAGAAGAAAACACCAGCCCTTTGCCCGCCCCGGTTCCGGACGCCCGGGGTGGCACAGGCGAAAACTCCACCTGGAAGTATCAGCAGCTGGACGAACTAAAGGGGTTGTTTAGAAAAAGATAATGAAATTGTTGTTAATATCTCTGTTTATGTACTTCCATCACTATTATGGTTGGGAAAATAGGTTCTTACAACTGGGGAAGACAATAGCAAACTCTTTTAATCTCAGTAACTGTTGGGTGTGTGGAGGCCCAGAAAAATTAAATAAATGGCCTTAGGTAGCCCAGCCGGTAAAGGCTAAGGATTGGGAACCGTAAAGCTCTCAAAATGTTTTTAAGGGGGGAGAAACCTGTTAGAGCAAAGGCCAACTATTTGCCTATTATCTCAGCTGTTACAT